TCGGTTGCATTGACGTTTTTACCACTAATTTTATCAAACGAGCTAACGAAGCCGCTAGAAACAGCGAAGTTCCGGAGCAGTGCCAGCAGCGCTACATACACTGGGTAAGACGGCCGTCTCCAATTTGCGGGACACACGCGGAACTACAGCAGCGAAACCACGAGGAACTGTGTCGACGTTTTCGACGTTATGGAAATCGCGGGAACTGCGTCCAAGGAAGGCAGGTTTTCCTGCCGGCTGCCTGGGTGCCTTCCGTGCTGAGTTCGGTTTTGTTGTCCCGTGCCGAGTGCCAACCGGCGTTCAACGTGATTCTTCTGCGTGTCAGCAACATCGTCAACGTGGTTCTGTATTTCTTCGTGTCAGCGACATCGTGATGGCAGTGTTGTGGGTTGTGAACAGAAGACTGGAATTATCGCCGATGTGACCGTGTGTTCGCTTATCAGTGGTGTAACAACAAGATGAGATGACGTAAACTGTCGGGCATTGATGCCGCTGGTCGGGCCGTAATCGGAGGGGCCGGGGTGTCGCAGGGTGACATTCCGCTTTACATTAAAGAGTTTAAAACCACTTGAGGGATTAGGTGCAGTCGATCGACGTGTGGATAGTCATGTTGGAACGCTGGTCTGAACGGTAAGCTCCAATCGTACAGTGGCCAATGTGACTGTCGGTCCCCGAGAGCGATTGCGCTCTGGGGAAAAGACAACACTACGAAAGTATGACGGAAAGTACGTATATTTATAATGGAAGTTTAGCATAAAAAAAAAAATACAGGCTAAATCGAAAAAAAACAGAAAACGCTATCCTTTATTTTACTGTTTAAATATATTACGGTTCCTGTAGAAACTGCCCTCTAAGTGGCGCGCTGGGATGAGCGCTAAAAGTTTTCGAGCTCGCAACGGCGCAGCTCCGTACACTTAACAGTTGTCGCAAGTCGCGGCTTTGACTGCATTCAAGTTGATCGAAAAGCGATTTCTGTGCCCGTGAAGCATCACTTCCAGCTGAGTGGATATCCGCTCTGCAGAGATTAATTCAAGACGGCAATTGCAGCTTTGCGCGAATAGCACAAATAGAAAAACGAACACTACAATATAAATACTGGCTACGAAGGGCCATGCGGGAAAACAAACTCATGGCTTGGAACCACTTTGGAGCGGCTCGATTTATTGGCTTTCAAATAATTATGGCATGATCGAGCGTCTTCTTTTTAATAAGAGATTCATCCCCTGAGCCATTAAAAATAGCCTCAGATGTATGACATTGCTGGAAAAAAATGAACATGTTCGGAATATTTTTTTTTGCTTAGGGAGTCACCGAAAAATTCCGTACGTTCAAAATGACCACTATAAAAGACGGAAACGCAGGGCTCGGTAGTAGTGATTGGGGTAGTGTGCTGTTGTATTGATGTTTGTATGTGCGATGGCTGTGTATGCGTTCAATATATGTTGACCTGATGTTTCCAGTGTGCGCAACGTGTTACATGTGTTAGAGATTCCGAAGAAAAGGAAACGCAATTGTGGCGTAAGAAAATAAAAAAATATTTTTTTTGTAAAACATGAATTGGGCGGTATCTAGCGCCACCTAGCCTAGCTACGTGCGATTACTCTGCTTGACCCTGCCATCTGGTGGCAAGCGATTTAACATCCTTTTACGCTACGCGGCTACGCCATAATTTCGTGTTACCGTGCTGAGATAAGCCAAGAGGTTGCTTCGGATTTGCTTTTTTTTGAGAGCAACTTTTGGTTTTGCGGGCGAATGATTTTCACTCCTCCGTGATGTGCGATTGACGCAACGGTTGACGAAGGAATTGTGGCTCGAGGAATAGCAAAGGTAGGACATAAAGTGCGCGAACTGAGTGCCGGTTGTCTCCGTTGAACATCCCAGTGCTGACGATGAGCAGACTGAGTGACTGCATGCTTTCGAAACGTAAGTTTCTTTACCTGCAGGGGTAAAGAAACTTCGGAAATAAATACAGTTCGCGGAAAGCTCGTGTTACGTTTTTATTTCCTGCTCCTCTCGCTTCGTGCAATAGACTTCGTGTTCTCGTTAAGCTTTACCGAGCTCGATTTGCTCGATTTGTGGCCGCCATAATGAGATGCAGTCGACGGAGGAACTTTTCCTCCCCTGCTTAAGGGACGAAAGTTTCTCCCTTTCTGAAGGAACATATGTGTCAAGAGCGTTCCTCCCTTTAGGGAGGACTATACTGACCCTTTTTTCTAAGAGTGCGGTCACGACTTTTCCATGCAAAGACCGGAAGCCCTCGGATCTTTGGCACCCCTGGGTTCATTCCCCACTATCTGCTGAGCTTCGAGGGTGCCGCAAAGATCAATCCCTTGTTTTATTTTTTTGCTCCGTTTTATCTCAAGCTCTAGAGAAGAAAAAGAGAAAAACCGGCAGAGGAGGAATGCATGGTCGAGATAGCCACGCGATCTGCCAAGCTAAGGGACCATCATGCATAAAAGCCATTGCTGCTTTTGCACTTTGGTTGCTTACATAAAGCGCGAGGTTGCATGTAAAAAACAGTCCCGGGGCCAGGCTGTACTTTATCACGCCTCTGAGCACTTCTACGGTTCGAGGGGAGATTGTGCGCGCACTGGCTGACAATAAGAAGCCCGAAAAGACACTCAAGATCACGTACACCGCGAGGCAATCCCTGTCGAACACTCTCAAGAAAAAAAGGGTGTATTGTTACACCCTTTGTCCCATATAATACACCCCAAAACTTCAATTCGACGTATAGCGCCCTACAGTCGAACAGGCTGCCTCAAATTTTACGAGGGGCTTGATAGCCGTGTGGTACAACTTATTAATATAGCTAATGTACGTTTTACTGAACACGAAAAAAAAATAATAATCGGGGTTTTCTTGGCCCTACAGTAAAAACTCGGTGTTTTCTTTATGTGGTATTGGATACGTACTTTAGCTATTTAAAATGTACCACACGGCTACCAAGCCCCTCGCAAAATTTCGGGCCGTCTGTTCGACTGTAGGGCGCTGTACGTCGAAATGAAGTTTTGGGGTGTATTATATGGGAAAAAGAGTGTAACGAGACACCCTTTTACGCCCTTTTTTCTAGAGAGTGAAGCAGCTCAATATTATGACGTTAAAACCTACAAATTATAGAACTGGATAATTGATCGATTTGCATTGTGATTAATCCAGTAATGTTTTAATCTCGATAAATATTTAGACGGTAAATCGGTTAGGATCGGAGTTGAAAGTACTAATGCGAACAGAAAGGGTTAGCTCTATAAGTTGGCGCGTATATTTCCGTTTGATGAGGTGACACCGTTGGCTTCTTTGCTAAAGCAATGTAGAATTATGTGCGGCTTTAGTACAGAGCGAATAGGAGGTTAAAGTAATGATTAAAATATATGTTATTTAAGATTGGTTGCCAGCGTTTTAATCTTGTAGCGTCAGGGCGTCAGAGTTCGAATGAGGCCCCAAGCAGCACAATTCACCGGCTCAAGCTTGAGCCTGCTTGGGCAGCCGGGGAAAGTTTCCCTGGCCCAAGCACCGTTTTGCTCCAAGGGGCAAGCTAGCCCCAGCCTGGCTAGCCGGCCCGGCAGTTCAGTGGGGGTTCCTTGTACAGCCAAGCTTGGCTAAACGGTGTAAAACAAGCCTGGGCCAGGCTGGCAGTTCAGTGGTCAGCCAAGCTTGGCAAAACGGTCTAAATGCATCCTGGGCCACACTGGCAGTTTAGTGGTTAGTCAAGCTTGGCAAAACGGTGTAAATGCAGTGTGGGCCAGGGTGGGAGTTCTCTGGTCATTCAATCTTGGCTATACGGGGAATTTACAGACTTCTCCCAAGGAAGTCTATGTTGTCATTCAAAGGATGTTTTTGTGGCATAAGATATAGTCAGACATCTCCAATTTTTGGTGCTGTGTGCAGAAAAAAACTGGTTGCTACCTTGTTCCGGATTTAGTGACCCACGATTAATGGAGCTGCTCCAGTAATTTTCTCAGAATACTTAAACAATAAAATGAAAGTTGAAAACATGTGCGAGCTGCTGTATTTATTGTGCAGTTGGCATGCAAATGAAGCTGCAAAAGTTTGATACAGTGGTTTTTTATTTCATGTTCAGTACATGGTGCTAGCTTATGCCCCGAGTCCCACTACAGCGACAAACAGAAACAAATGACGACAAGTCTCGAACCTGAGTCTTTCGCGATTTGACAGGCTTTGTGGAATAAAGGAGGCTATGCTTAAAAACAAGCATCATGCACGCGAGGGTATCTTTGACAGGCTTATACCCTAGTTACACGGGCGCTTTCAACTGCCATTGAGTCAACGACAGTTAACTCAATCGCGATCGGCCGGAGTTACACGGCGGCGCCAACTGTCATCGAGCCGCTAATGACAGTTGAGTTCAACTGAGCTCCCCTACCTCAGTTCAACTGAACGGACTTCCCCAACTGAGGTAAAATGGCGCTTGTTCGCGGGACCGCTGCCGCCGACCATCGTTTGCGAGGCACTTACTGTTTTGGAATGCGGGGGTAGGCGTCTAGAAAGAATCGTAGCAGCAAAATATCCGGGAAGGAATAGGTTTAGGCGCCCGAGCTGCCGCTAAAACGATCCCGGCTAGCGGGCAAGCCATCAAACGAGCGAAGATGGCGGTGGGACCGGCTGTATGAATGGACAAATAGTAACAGTTGCACCGATCGTAGCGGGCGGTAGTTTGCGCCACCTATCCTAAAATATGCGCAATCTAGCCCTGAATCTGCTTTGGTACTGGTGTAAACGCCGCTAAAAAGCAACAAGATATAGAACATATTGTCCGATATACTTATTATAAATAAAATGTGTGTCTCCGACTAAATTAGTTTACCAATTAAACTGATCATGTGGCACAAGAGCTAGTTTCGTTTTAGCTTCAACTGGGTTCTAGAGAGCCGTGTAGCACCATCTCAGTTCAGTTCAGTTCGATCACAGTTGGCGCCGATAACTGTGATTGAACTGAACGACAGTTCAAAGCGCCCGTGTAACTAGGGTATTAGAATCACTCATGCTTATTTCACGAGCACCGAACGAATAAACGCCTGCCAAAGGTACCATCACGGGCATGCTGAATGGGTTGGAGGCTTGTAGCTGTCTTTGTTTCTGTTTGTCGCTCTCGTGTCCCACTAGAGTGACAAAGGCTGGTTGCTGGTCGAGTATCTGCTGCCTGGCAACTGGGCTTCACAGCTAGTAGGTGGCTCTGTCGATTCGAGTACTTATGACAGCAGTTGTCCATGGTTCACCCCATGGCCACTTCATGGCTGTGACGTAGAGCTGGATAGCAGCACCTGGAGAAGGAATAAGATAACCAGTGATGCATGTTTAGTAAATATGTTTTACATGAACCATGCTCCTAATTAAATTATAACACAGCAGAAAGCCCACCCAAAAGGTCTTGGTGGTATGTTCAGTCTCCTTCAATATAAAAGACGTACTAAAAGCGCGTGGCTGTGATGGCCGTGGGCGCTATGTGCGCTCCACGAGATTCTGTTCTGCCTCGAGGAAAGGACACTCACTCGGGGCTGAACCGGTCCTGAACTTGTTAACCGTTTTTGGTTTAGGTTTAGACTAAAAGTTTGCTTTATCGGCATTGCGCCCAGAGATGTGATCATGGAGGCTCGAAGTAAGCATGCTCATTATTGTTTTCGTTATCAGTTGTTTCTGGTGTAAAATTTGAAAACAGGCACAAATATTAACGTTACACCTGAGTCTCATATTTGAAAAATAAAATGTCTTGAAGAGCGGAATCATTAATCAGAAGGAAGGCATGGACCATGCTATTTAAAAGTGAAAATAATTGCCTTGACTCGGGCCAGTTTCTCTCGGACAGCCATTTCAGAATTAATTGCTGTGACATAATGTGAATGAACTGCTCTCCACCGTCAACCCGAAAACTGATAAGTGTGCATTGCGCTTTAGCTGAGCACTATGTGAGTTCCCCCTTGGGTAGATTGGGATCTCCCAGAGCGCACACAGTGCCCCCACCAGTCACTGCCTCGGCCAGGCGCTCCCACTGGGTCTTTCATACTGCAGGAGAATACAGAACGCAGGAACTACAGAATTTGACAGTGACAAGCATGATTTCCCTCCATTTGTAGAATACTACTGTCAGTAAATGCAAAATAAAAGCCAGTTAAAGCACCTCAATGTGAACACCACATATAACATACAGTACAGTGGAAGGTTGCTCAGATCGTTTGAAAGCAGACTGAATTGCCGCAAGGGAATTTTCTTGTTTCTCTTGATAGTAAAACCAAGCCATAAGTACAACTTCACTGTAAAGACAATGTTTTCTATCTGCTTTTCTTTAAATGCATAGAAGTACTTTTTGGTATTTATGTTACCTGCCTCTAAAAAGACGAAGGACCAGTAAAAAGAAACACACAGACACAGTTACGTACAAAACAAGCGTGTTGGTAAGAGTAACTACACATGAGGAAGATACATAGAAAGGGGGGGGACGGATGGACGGACAACTTTGTTGTCCGTCCCCCCTTTCTATGCATCTTCCTCATGTTTAATCACAAACACAGCGCTGTGTCTTTCCTTTTACTGGTCCATCTTTTTTTGCACTGTTTTAACCCATTCAATGTGGCCATCAACCAACTTGCCCAACTTTACACCTTGCTACCTCTACAATTGCAATATAAAGTGGTCTCAACTTCCACTGACAGCCCTGAAGCTATAAACCCACAAAAAACCAAATTCCCTAGTAATTAAAACAACACAAAAGAAAATCAGATCAGAAAAACATTCAGTCTGATTTGATTATATTGAATCAATAAATACAATGAATGTGAGCAAGAATTCTTGTGAAAATGTATTATAAACTTTCAATGTAAAATGGGATGAGAGTCCTACTAAAGCAACCGAGAGGAACAACCGACCCCAACACGACTTAAATACATTCAGCATGCACACGAAGATACCTTTGGCAGGCTTCCCATTTTTCGAGGCTCATGAAGTAAGCACAAGTTATTGCAAGAATGCCAAAAGATATCTTTGTATGCATGCTGCATGGTCTTGGAGCTTAAGATGGCAAGTTGGCTATTCATCACTGAATAATACGCCAAAAAAACACAGACACAACAAAGGAAGATCTGGACAGGACACGGCATAACCTTCAACTGAATGGTTCATATAAAAAAACAGAAATACATATAGACCCTTTCAGGCAACATTTCATGGGTGCGCCGCTGCCACCTTGACGTCACGTGATCCTGCTGCCATAGCCGACCTTCAGTTTCTCGCAGTTGCTCCGCGTTGTGTGCGGCACCGGCCACCACCGGAGCTTTGTTCTCGAGTTCTTTTACGTTCTGCGTTGAAATCGTGTGTTTGCTTTAGGTCCTTTTGATATTTCGGGCTTTCATTTAATCATTTGATATCTACATTTGAACATCGCTCTTGTATTTTCTTATTTATAGAATGGAATCGGACAGCGAATGGATCGACGATAAAAGATTATGGCCTAGGCTTAAAAAACCATTAAGTTCATCACATTTTGTTTTTATCGCTAATAAGGGCAGTCAACACCATTGCGACACATAAAAATTTCAACTGACGCTGTACGGCTATCGCAGTCGTGCTTCTTGCTGCATGTGCGAACTTTAGACATTGTTTTCGTAAGTAAAAACCGAACTGCATGTAAGTGCTCAAGCGAGCGGCAAGACGAGCAACGGCGACAACGATGAGTCAGCGACGAAGATTTCTTACTGTCGCCCGTTGCATTGCTCGGTTTTTGGATTTCTAGAAAACGTCGCTCATCGTCTTGGTCGCTTGCGTGCGGTTTGCCTCGTCGCGCGACTGATTGAGCGAAAGCGAAGCGAGTCGCTTGGCTCCTTGCTCTCCAAACCACTTGCATGCGGTTTTCTAGAAATCCAAAAGCCGAGCGCCGCGACGGGTGGCAGTGTGAAGCTTTCGTTGCTGACTCGTCGTTGTCGCTCGTCTCGTCGCTCACTAAAGCCCTTACATGCGGTTCGGCTTTTATCTATGGAAACAATGTCTAAAAGCGCGCACATGCACTGAAAAGCATGACTGCGATAGCCTCACTGCCAAAAATTTGGGGGATTTGCATGCCAAACCAACGACGGGCATCTGGAGATAGCCTCACTGCGTCAGTTGAAATTTTCATATGTTGCAATGGTGTTGACTGCCCTTTATTAGCGACAAAAACAAAAGAATGTGATGAACTTACATGTTCTCTGAAGCCTAGGCCATGATCTTGTATCGTGATCCATTCGCTGTCAGATTCCATTCTAAAAATAAGAAAATACAACATCTATAATGAAACATAGGTATCAAATGATTAAATGAAAGCCTGAAATATCAAAGACCTAAAGAAAACACTCGGCTTCAACGCGGGATGTAAAAGAACACAAAAACAAAGCTCCGGTGGTGACCGGTGCAGCACACAATGCGGAGCAACGGGGACAAAATGAAGGTCAGCTATGGCAGCCCGTTAAGCACGCCGACTGGTGGCAGCTCGAGTAACTGACTCCCTAAAAGCATCTATACAGATAAAAAACTGACACCTGCTGGCAGAACACTGTAAGGTCAAAATGCACTTCCTCAGAAACCAGTGCCACTAGTCCCATAGAGAGTGAAATTCTGTCAGACAATGACACTAAGGGTGCACCTCAGACAAGAGTTGTTACCCTGGTATTTTATCCAGAAGGTCACCTAGCAATTCACTGTGTCCATTGTGAGTGCAAGTCCAACTTAGAAAAAGACTAGTGTCATGGGCTGCTACAAGACAAAAACAAAGAGGAAAATTCACAATGCCTTCTTGATGAAATCCTAGAATAACAACTCATGTGAGCACACCCTCATTACTAACACATGACGAAGAATTCCACGGTCTGCAGAGCCGATGACGCTCGTTTCTGGGGGAGTGTGTTCAGACGTCGCATCAGCCCACTTCACATGGCGCAATTTCGCTTGCAAATTTACACCTGTGACATCAGGCACTGCAGCTTCCCCCATGCCAATATTTCGCTGAGTGAGTGACGCCACAACAGCAAACTCGCAAGTAAAATCACACCATGCGAATCAGGTTTACAGTGTTCTGACAGCATGTGTCACTTCCTATCAGTAGATATATTTTTTTTACCAAAGTAAACTATTCAGTTAAAAGTTAAGACGTGTCCTGCCCAGATCTTCCTTCATTTCGTCTGCGTTTTTTGGCGTACTATCCAGTCTTGAGGCATATCAGTGTCAGGTGTTTTTCTTTGTCGCTCTAGTAGGACTCGGGCAGGGTGGGTAAACAGTCATGTCTCAGTAATATGGATACTCTGCTATATAAAAACCGTTTTCGGGGACCAACCGGGTAAATACCTGCATTTTGTCCTGTTATTATGCACAGCTCACATTATGGACGCCTCTGGGTAGGAACGGAGGTGTCCATTTGCATGAGACATCACTGTCAAATTCCCTAGTGTTAAAATTAATGACTGCATGCTCTGAAGCCACGTAGCAGGCTTCTCCACTGAACACTAATGCGTAGTGGTGGCATGGCAGATGTTTGTGGCTGCAGAACACACCGCAGGCAAATGATATCCAATGTGGACAATCATGGATATTTGACATTAGAATCAACCAACAAATAGGCCTACATGTTGCTGTCACAGAATTGAACGATTTTTTTTCATCGTTAGCTTCCGTTTTGTGTAAGATGCACGAGTGCCGAAAACACGAGCTCGGAAGAGAAGAAAAAGAAAAAAAGAAGGAAGGCGGAAGCTGCGTAGAGCTAGGCTTCAGTGGTTGGAACAACAAGCAAGGCTTAGTGGTGTGGGAGGTCGAACCCCGAACAAGGCTTTGTCAAGATGGTTGGTGGGCCCTGAGCAAGCTTCGACAACGTGCATGTGCTTGTGAGCGAGCGCTGTTCGGCACTATAACCACCCAAGCCACCACAAGTTCTCGACTCCGACTGGTGCCGCAAGGGACTGGGACCACCACCGACATCTTGCGACCATGATTCGACTTTCCTCATACGAAATGTATGGCGTCTTTGATTTGGCTTCTGTTCCCTCTTTGTTACGCTTTCGAAGCTTTTGTGATTTTCTTGCCGCTGCTACGAAGAGCAAAAGGCTTCCAAGATATGTTCCTTTCCTTTATTTTCATTTTTTTACGTCCGTTTGTGCGTCCTGTGCACCTTTTCTTTAATTTTAAATTTCAGAACTAATAAATAGTGTTTCGAAATGCCAGGTACAAGTCACTCTCAATTCGTACCGCCTCTAAGGAATCCATCACCTAGGTGTGGCCCTAGCACCTGGACAGCGGTCCAATTCAGATTACAAGTTGGTTTGTTTATGGCATCTTTTCCAACCGAACCTGTGACAAACTGGCATCCACTACAGGACTTGAACCTGACACAAGTTAGTCACAGGTTCGATTGGAAAAGATCCCATAAAAACAAACTTGTAATTTGAATTGGACCGCTGTCCAGGTGCTAGGGCCAAACCTAGGCGATGGACTTCCTGAGAGGCGGTAGGAACTGAGAGTGAGTCGAGCCTGGCGTTACGGAACACTATTTAATGGTAATGAAATTCAAAAGTAAAGAAAAGGTGCACAGCACGTGCACACAGTCGTAAAAAAAGAAGAAATAAATAAAGGAATAGAACATATCTTGCAAGCGTTCCACTCTTCATAACCGCGGAAGGAAAAACACAAAAGCTTTGAAAGCATAACAAAAGGAACAGAAGCCAAATCAAAGATGCCATACATTTGGAGGAGTAGGAGAGTCCAATCATGGTCCCAAGATGTCGGTGGTGGCTTGGGTGCTTGCAGCGCCACACAGTGCTCACTCACAAGCACAGGCACATTGTCTAAGACTTGCTCGGGGCCCACCAACAGTCTTGACGAAGCCTTGCTCGAGGTTCGACCACCCAAACCCACGAAGCCCTTGCTTCGCGTTCCACCACAACCACATTGTGCGCGGGTTCCACCTTCTTTCTTCTTGATCCCTTCCTCTGAGCTTGTGCTTTCGGCACTTGCACATTTTGCTCAAAACGGAAACCAGTAAAAAGAGTACAAAAACCACTGAATTCTGTGAGAGTTGTTATGACTGTGAATGTCTAGAGGGCAAAGTTGACATTTGCAACAAAACTTGAAATAATAAGGCATGTAGAGAGGGAGACAAAGGTTTGTGTCACTGGAGCCCACAAGATCTGTGTAAACTACTCAAGAAACGGTGTGACATAAAAGCGCGACAAAAGACATTCTGATGCACGGCATATTAAGACATCGAGAAACCACTACAGAGGTGGTTTAGAGATGTCGGGGCAAGCAACATTCCTATATTGGGACAAATCTTCTAAAGGAATGTGAAAAACTCCTTTTACTCTTGAAGTGAAGAATCTTCTAAAAGGATGTGTATGTGATGGGACTATTGTGCTGGCAGTGCCAGCGCCGAAAGAGAAAGTCAATGGCTCAACAATCAATTGAAGCCAAGTATGAAACCAGAAATAGTTAAATGCCTTGCCTAGAAAATTGGCCTGCAGTGGCAAAAGCATCCCTGGCAAGCGATTCACAGTTCGCATGGAAGCTAACAGAACAAGGCCCAGATATCAGAGCTTTTGAAAACCAACACGGATGGCACCACAAAAATGTATCCTTAGTGATGGGAAAGTTTAGAACGCCAAATAGTATGAGCTGTTGTAGTAAAACCATCATATACGTATGAAACATGAAATCATGGATGACACGGGATCTCTTTGGCTGGGTCTTTGGTGGCTCGTGGACTGGGAAGCCGAGTTTGTGGATAAGCGTCCCAGCGTGTGCTTACTTGGTGACATGTGCCACTTAACACTATCCAGTTCTATTCTAGCAGCCAAACACGACATCCAAGCTGCATCCGTTAGACCAAGGCATAATTCAAAGGTAGTCTAGATTGTGTTTACCATTTATAAATGTCCAGGCACGTCTGCAATTTTGCACATCCAGAGGCTTTCAGAGACAGTCACAAGAGCCAGCAGCTTGCTTGGGCAGCCCACTGTCAGCCACTCTGTTCTTCCATGCACCGTGCCACCTCCATGAGCTCCCACTGAAAAACAAAAGAAACAGAATCGGAAATTATACTTGCAATAAGAACATCTCAGCAGCAGAGGCTACGTTATGGTGCCTGGAATGCGCCTCCAACTGGTTCGTTTCATGCTGTTGGATGTTGCAATCCTGGCATGCTGTTGGATGTTGCAATCCTGGCAGTTGGTCGTACAACTTCTGGCAAAAAATATATGAGCTAACGCAGCCGTCATTGTCCTCGCAACATTCAAAATCCTGGCTGACAAAGCTCCCATGGACTGTCAAGCTGAGGGATACCCTCTCTCCCCCCCTCCCTTTTCCAGCAGAAACTACCTCAACTGCCATGATGTTCACAGCCCGGAAAAGATCCCCTAGAAGTTTATTCAGGAGCAACTAGGGTAGCTATAGAGACAAGCTCTCGCACTATGAAGCGATTCCACAAATCTGCCATAAGCAGCAGCAGTTCATTGAGAGTATAGAAGTTTTCCTTGTAAATACATCTCGAGATGAAGTTGCATCTCTGGATTCTACCAAGACTAGTTTCCAGCAAAGATTTACGTTGGCAAGCCGGCCGAGTTGCTGAGTAGGAGGAAGGTGCATGTGCCACACCACACGAATCTTTTGCTTACATTCAGAGAAAGGAAGGCTGAACTTCCCTGATCGATACTGATTAGGCTGAAAATCTTGAGACTTTTCCGATTGCCGAATTCCTCAACAATACCAATTTTTCAGCTCATAGACACCCTGCACAGGGTTGAGTTAGGTACTAATGGTCATTAACAACTGCGTGAATTACTGTACACATATGCTGTAACTATACTAAAGCCCAACTTATTCTAGTAACACACAACACTATAAAACTACCAAAAAACAGAGCATGCACCCGTGGCAGAGTAAGCGCTCTAACCCCTACTTTTGAAACATATCACCTCATCTAAGGACATATTAAAGCCTATTCCTCTATTTTAAGCAAGTTAAAAAAATATATGAAAGAGACATCAAGCGCCCTGTCCCCATGGGCGTTTATCTCCACGACTGGCAGACAGAATGGGGATAGAACGAGTAGAACAGCAAAGCAGGAGAGGAATAGGAGAGGTGCAGTCGAAAAGAGCTAGAAAGTGATATACTTGGGGACAACATTCTGTGGCAATGGAGCTAAAGCTAGAGAGCCAAAGGACACCATTTCACTGCATAGCTGAATATAGTTCAACCATAATAATTTGCTGGGTGGAACGTAACCAATTAAAATATATGTAAAATTGTTCTGTTTAGCTTTGACTTTAGAATGTTAGCATAACATTAGCCAGGATGTGCCAAACCTAGAGCATTTCCTATTTAGCTATTTTGTGTTTTCTTGGTTTAAATTCACCCTAGGTTTTCTAACTCCCTGCAAAATTAAAATGGCATCTTTATCGTGCGCATCTTTGGGCAGCATCAGTGTGGTGTATTGTAGGTACACTCTGTGAGCTCGCCTCTTTGTTTGACATGTAAGATTTTTACGAAGTTTGGCAACCAAGAAATCTTACAACAAACCAAGCAAGTGGTGTGCAACGTGTATGACAAATGGGACAGTGGGAACCGGGACTCCTAGTTATTTCCGTATGCCAGTTGGCAAGCAAGCTCACTGGTGTGTGTGAGCAGGGGTGGGGACCGAGCTCAGGACCCCTGGGTTCTGCAGCGCAATCCTCGCTACACATATTCTGAGCTGTGGTGTGCCAGCGACTCCCTAGGGCCAGCCATAACTGAATGCGATCCAAATGGAATGCGACTTTGCGTCGTGGAGTGTGCATGCTTCTATTTCTGTATATTCCTCCCGCGCAATAGTTTTTCAGCACCAGAAGAGTTTACAGATAACTGACCTCAAAACACGGCAGCACTCATGAAATTTGTTCATGTGGCAATTTGGGTCAGGTGGTTCATGATCATTGACTAGCGCCAAAAAAATAGACAGGGTCAAGAAGTTGCCACTGGCACACTCGCAACTAACATTATTGAAAAAAAAAAACAATCTGTTACATTGCTGTGAAAAATGTCAATCATGATTACAACCAATGTAGACCTCTATCAAGAAATTTATATTCTTTTGCTAATAAGGTTATGGATGTGTCACTTGTACAATTCATGCCTTCGGCTATAATCTCAAACACCTCGTGTAGCTTTCTAGACATTTTATCTGAGTATCTGGCCAAAAATTTGGTGTCATTAAATGATGGGAAACAAGGGCAGCAGCTGATGTGTGTGGTCGCTGCAGCAGCGGCCCTTGGAAAAGACAAATGCAAAACTAAACACTGCAAAAAATTCACAGAATGCACGACCAAAGTTGTGTACGAAATCCCAATGTCATATGGTTCTGTGTACACAGGTCAGACAGGCCTATGTATTAATGACCGCGCCCACGAACACGAGGTGGCCACACAAGCGACTTCCATCACGACATCTGGCCACACACTGCAGACGCTGCTTTTGCTCCCAGTCGTTTAAGGACACCAAATTTTTGGCCAGATACCCCGATAAAGAATCTAGAGAGCTACACCAGGCGTTTAAGACTAAAGCCAAAGGCACCAGGTGTACAAGTGACAGATCCATAACCTTATCGGCAAAAGAAAGAATTTTTTGATAGAGGGTTGCACCAGTTGTAGTCATGACTGACGTTTTTCACAGCTATATAAGAAATTTTGTTTTTAATAAATGTTAGTTGCCGGTACGCCAGTGTTCACGTCAAATTTTTGTCTAGGTATTTTTCCGGCGCTTATCTACTATCATGAAGTTCGCAGCTTTTCCTGATTCGACACTGCCTACCTTCGTCAGCTGAGAGACAAATTCTAGTAGATTGACCCCGGTGAAATCTACCTTGCAAGTCTGTCCGAGTGTTTCAGTCAAAGTGTTGGCTTACGTTTAAAAACGGGTTAGCCTTCAGAAATAGATCTGAATATGCCTGCATGCTCGGCGATCGCGGTTCAGGTCCCTCAACCGCAATCCTCGTACAAAAACATGCACTGAAGCAACTGCGTGGTTGACACGCCAAACCCTAACTAAAACCAAAACCAAAAACTATTTGGTGCACTAACACAGAGCCATTAGCACTGCCTGCCTCCCCCCTCCCTAGCTTTCTTTTCATTGCCAAAGAAAGTTGTGCCCAAAAAAAGATGGGTTGCTTTTTTGTTCTAACTCGGAAGAATAAATTTAAGGCTTTATAACAAAAACAAGCAAATGCGTAAGCAACCATTCTTTAGGATGTTAATTTGTAATAAAAAAAATAAAAAAAAACAGACGGTTTGTTTTTACGTGTTTACACAGTCAACTAGCTTTGCAAATGGCAGCTGTTTGTAATTCCGTGGTCAGACCAAGGGACCACCCGACCATGTACACCTTTACTTTATTACCTACCCTATCCCCCAGCTCTCCACGGTCATCGCCAATTTAGAGTGGGCAATTGCTCGGTATATTACAGTTTGTAATGGTGTTATTTGTTTAGGAAAACAAAATGTCAGATAAATACCAGCAGGGCCCTGCGGAAGCGGTGCATGGGCCCCGTTTCACCTCTCACAAAGCATCCTGTCTTGAATGGCAGCAGAGAAACAGGTGGGGCTGATTCGACTGCAGGCCTTTGCTGAGTTGATGGCTACTATCCAGACTGGCAGCTGATCGGCATCTTCCAGCCACCTGCAGTTTTTTCTTGATGATACAGACTTCCTGCAATACCATGAATAAGAATCAGACTGATATTCTGGAACAAAAAAGAAACCAAAACTTGCTTCACAGATCAACAAAAGAACAAGTGCCAACATTACGCTTCTCTTGTTGTCGACAGTGCAAAGACCATGATGACAGCACCATTAAACTCAACCAAACAAGGAAAATGAGCTTCTTCATGACGTAATTGTATTAAGAACCAGGCATGCAGCCAGAGGGGGGTAGGAGCCTACCTCACCTTTGCTTTATTACCTACCCTATCCACCCCCCCCCCCCAAAAAAAAATCGACCATTTTGCTGGGCCCTCCTCTCCCCCTCATACAGCATTTTGTCTTAAGTGCCCCCCCCCCCCCCCCCTCCCAATACAAAGTTCTGGTGAAGTGCCTGTTAAGAACAATGTGCATGTAGAGCTTAGATACCTACTGGTACCTTAAGAAATCCCAGGAAGCTAAAAACAAATTAAACACCACTTAAAAATAGCACAGCTCGCTTGATAGGTACATGCACAGCAATCAACAAGCCTCTTGACGTGTTCTGCAGTGCAGGGATACACATCAAAAACAAACACCGGGGATGTGATCGAAATCCTTTGGGGCAGTGCAATGCGCAAGTTTATCCTGAAGCTACTGTTTGCGCATGTGCCAAAGAGGCATTAAAGCTGGTTCACACTGTTGCAACTGACTACAACCGAGTTGAACAAAACAGGGTTTTAAGCCGCTTACGACTGCCATTACTGCTGGACGGCGTGGTCATAAGCTGTCACAAGAGGCTTAAAGACTGGTTTTGTCGGAGTCAGTCCTAGTCGGGTGCAAGTGTGGACCAGCTTTTAGACTAAAATTGTATCCAGCTTTGGGTCTTTCCACAAATGCTTTAAGAGGCTCCCTTCAACTTTACCAGAGCCTCAGGTATTTATATGTCTTAGTAAGTAAGGAGACATCACATTCAAAGTTGCATCTCCTTGATTTGTATGTGTCTCTGCAGTACATGTGAGAGTGCCTGCCAGATGTGTGTGTTTCTATTGCAACTTTTGTACCACTGAACGTTCTATACCAGACCAGAGCATTTTAATCAAATCATTCAACCTCTTTCCTCAGCCATGTAAACTACTTGTGCACCCACGAGTTCCACAAGTCACGAATGTAGCCGGGGTAAATTAAAACGCCGCTAAGGCAAGCAATAATAATCTTTATTAGCGACAGTAGTACTCTGGGTGGCTCGCAAGGCTAGACATATATACAGGGGCCCGTGCGCACGATCGACTGCTAGGCAATCAACCAGAGCAAGATTATTAAAATAACAAACAAGCAACAAGGAAGAAAACAACAAGAACGATGAGATTAACAGGGCTCTGTCAACACTTTTAAGAAACTCTAGGCCCGCGCGCCTCAAACCCAACGCCACGCACCGCAGGCCGGCGTGAGGCACACGCCGTACACGAGCACAACGACGGCGCCCAGCTAGGAGCCTGTCCTATCTACCCGCCAAACGCCAGCGCAGCCAGCGCCACACGCCAGCGCCACTCGAACCGCGCCATCCCGCTGGACGCGGCGCGAAAACCAAGTGCGCGCAGGCCGGGAGTTTCAAAATACTGGGCACAACTCAACGCTGTCGCTAGCATGACAAAGGACAAGACGACACGCCAAAGTCAAAACCACCCGAGTCATCCCGAACACACCCATGGCGTTCGTTCCAACATCCGTATTCAAGCGTTTGACAACACAGAGCAGTTCACTGATAGCAACGTGTACTTTAGAAACGATCTAATCAGCGTCTCTGCAGTGCTCCGTTGTCGCAGAGCATTCACAAGACTCTCAAGATAGCGGCGCCGCCGCGCCGCCGCCGCCGGTCAGTGCTAAGACGATTTCACTTTTTTCGACTCAAATCGCAGAAAAAAGTGAAACATTATCCGCATTACGGTGGCAACGTGAGCTACGATGTTCGGAAGATGATCTAGCATATCTTGGATATTCTTCTAGCATGCATTATGAATATGAAATCGGCAAAACTTACCTGAACTCGGACCGACCGACGCACTCCGAGAAACAGGCCTTTGTCTCCGCTCCGGTGGCTCCGGTGGCTCCGGCGCGAACAAGGATCCGGAAGCTGCTTTGTGGCTTTGGATTAGCACGAAGCCAAGGACTGAATACGACGTAATAGTTTCGGTTTCGACCCCACTCTATCACAGTTCATATTTTTGGGGCCGGTGTCACTGCTGTGGACATTACCGCAGCAGACATAATTTTCCAGCTTCTTCTCCTGTTATACGCTGCTTGATAAACTTTGTTTGCTGATTGAAATGTACATCAACTTACGTCCATCTCGTCCTTCAAACATACGGTGTTCATTATCTTAATTCAACTTGATTTCTCATTTGTAAAGACATGTAATTGCTTAATCATTCACTGCATGTTTGTTTTGAGTTGTTATTTTTGCTAAAAAAATGTACGTGTTTTTTTGTTTGTTTGTTGTTTTTGTTTTTTTTTTGGGGGGGGGGGGGGTTTGGTCTGAATTACACGTCGTGTTTTGCGGCTCAGTAAAACGGGTTGTTTTGAGAAATTCAAGATCACGTACAGCCGACAATACACCAGTGATGTAGATAGAGGGGAGGAGGGAGAAGCTTTCAGGGTCGCCCCCCCCCCCCCCACCGCCCCCCCCCCCCCCTCCCCCTTGGAAAATATTCGTGGCTGCGTCGCTAAATGGGCAAAAGAGAAAAAGAGGCACTGCGTTTTTTGCCTCATAAACATACACACAAATCTAAAGAGGCGTGCATTTTGTGCTTCGTGTGGGATTTGCTGAGCACGACTTTCGGTGGTTTTGAGATGAAGCAGCTCCTCCCATCTCTTTCCACTTCTGCAGAGCGAACGCTCGAGAGGAGCCGACCCCCTCCTCAACGTTTACTTTTAACCTGTCACCGAGTATGGCTTTTTTTCTTTTTTCGTGGACCTTTCAAATCGCTACAGCTCGCAGTTCATACAGCGGTGTAATCCAGTTGCGAACGTGCTGTGCGTGTCGAAACAGAAGACATATGTTTCCCTCCGGAGCGGGATCGGCGGCCGAGTGGGCTAGAGCACACCAGCTCGGAGCACGTGGAGCGAAAGCTCGTGCTACAGAACCCAGGGATCCTGGGTTCAATAGACCGATCCCACCAAGCGTTCCACGCATGCGTGACGCTGAAATTACTGTAAATGATAGAAGCAGACACCAGTTCACGAGACAGCTCATGCCACCTCGTGCTCTGCTCGCACAGACCTCCAGCAGAATTGTCGCGCGTGCAGAAAGACTACAGCTCCCACGATGCATGGCGGCAGCGGCGGCGTACTCAAACTAGATGGTGAAATCGGTCTATCCGCACCCCTGCCCGTTTCGATCTCGATGAACATCCTACCGGCGCGCTGTCGTGTATCATTACTGCGTGATGCACGTTAAGACCCCGCGCTATCCGTTGTACTGCATTGTCTAAATGTTTAATCTACAGCTGGGAGACTCGTCGGCCATTGAGGTAGACCAAATTCTATGCTGTATAAACATAAAACAAACCCCAATTTTTCTCTGGAGCCATAGCTACAGGCTGTTTTCAGCGCGCGATCAGCGCATTCAGTAAACTAAGAACAAGAGCGCGCCCACGAGGCTTTGTGTTGCCTCTAATTTGCACGTGCTCACCCCCCGCTTTGACAAAATTGGAGCCCTGCAGAAGTTACGCTAACCTCGTGCACCGCCGAAACGTGCCCTACATGTCCTACACTTCGTTTCACACTCAGTGCGAGCGAAAGCAATGTGAGGTCGATGTTGACACGTCAAGAGCTCTCCTTCGCTCGCATTTATGATGAAAGAGAGAATAAACAGTCATAGAACAATGAAATGATTGCCATATATTTTCTGTTGTGTAATAGATGGCAAGTTAGATGTATGTTTTGACCGCTTAAGCTAAGCCTATTTCGTATTTACAAATTCTGATAAGCATGAGTCCATGTGGAACCTATCCAAACGCGGATTAAAACCCGGCTTGATTAATTTTGAGATGAAAATAAAAATGTAAATAAATATTACATTCGCGGTATCCCTTACTTTGTTCCGATTCCTTACATTGTACGCATCAGTGACATTAATGCGATGGCTGATTCGTAAATGCGATTTTCCGTGGAATAAACTTCTTTTTTATGCACTTGATCACTAGCGCCACCTGCACATACCTTTGCTTTACGCCACGCGTGGCCAAGGCTTTAGTAACTTTGTGGTGCGGTCTTTGCGGAGCGGACCGCATTCCACGTGTGTCGGCGGTGTCAGGTGAGTCAGATGGGTCGTTCCCACTTTAAATAAATACTAAAAATCAGTTTCTTATACTGCGAAGTTTTGACGTAGGTGCAGCGAGAGCAGTCTTGCCTCTTCTTGAACTCAGAAATACCAGTCAACATCTAAGCCTTTCTCGTGGCGAAGTTTCGCGTGCCGCGTTTCATTTGAAAAACTAAAGGCTTAGCACATGTCGGTTTTAGAAAGCATTTTTTGCTTGAAGCTTCTGAGGCAAGTTCGCTCTCGCGAATAAAACGCACCACCAAGCTGCAATTACGAATCATGTGAAACTGATTTTTGTTGTTCATTTAAAGTTTGGGACGATCAATTTGACTCAAGCGCCCGGTCATTCTTTTCAGTCTGTAAAGAACGCGGGGTCTGAGCGAACGGAAAATTGAACACGCCTGTTCAACGCCGCGGCAAGGTGTGCAGATTTAGTTAAGCAGCATGTTTTTCACAATATTTTTCTTGAAGCGCCGACTGAGTTGCGATTAGTTAATTTGTTCCGTGTCAATAAAGCCCGACGATCGCGTCACGCCAACAAACGCGATATTTTTTTAAAAGAAAAGGAGGAAGCGGGTCCTGGCCCAAGGTCTAAGCGCAGATACTCGTGGACGAAGCTATGTCACTGGCTATGTGATAATAGCGCAAGAGTCAAATTTAAGCGCAACGTAAGAACACATTTTAAGTTGATGTTATATAAGTAAAAGTGGCGGTATCGAGCACTTCAGGGTGCGATGAAAAGCAA